TGCCTGGATCCTCCCTCCTCCCCTTCTTGAAAACAGGGACCACACTGGCCCTTTTCCAGTGCTCTGAGACCTGGCCCGTGTGCCACGAGTGCTCGAATATTCTTGCCAGTGGCTGTGCAGTGACATCAGCCAGTGTCTTCAGTACCCTCGGAGGGAGCTCATCCGGGCCTGCCGACTTAAACGCATACAGTCCTTCCAAGTGACTCTGCACCATCTCAGGGTCAACGCTTGGTAGTCTGGTGCCCTGCTGTTGCGTCTCTATAATCCCATTGTGAGACTTGTCTTACCCCTCATTTAGGAACACTGAGGCAAAGAACTCATTGACGACTTCAGCCTTGTCCCCCATCTGTCACCACTTGCTTTTGCCCCATTCAGTAGTGGTCCTATACCGCCCTGGGCCTTCCTTTTACTCCCTATATATCTGAAAAACAACTTTTTGTTGTCCTTAACTTGGGATGCCGTCCTCAGCTCCGTGGTAGCTTTGGCCTTTCTAACTGCCTCCCTACAACTGCGAGCTGAGGAGGTATACTCCTCTTTAGTAATCTCTCCCAGTTTTCACTGATGGTCATGGCCAAGATCTGTCTGTCCAATGTAGTGCCATTCTATCACAGATGACACAACCATGTATTTGCAATTGGTGCTTTTGATGCATCTGAACTTCCTCCATTTCCTGGGGTGTGACTGTGAGTGTGTTAATTCCTTGTAATAACAGTGGTATATAGTGTATGAAGACATCCGAGATTGTTTCAGCAATTTAGAAAATTCTTTACCTTGTTTAAAAAAAAAAACCATGACCAATAGTAGGAATTGACAAGTTTGTACCAATAGATAAGGAACAGCCATGTTTCATAGGGCAAAACATATGAATGACTGTATAAAGTACTGCAATGTTTTTAAAAACCTTATGTGAACCCTGGATTCCAAACACTCATGCTATGTTATCACAGTTTGGAAAACTCTTTCTTTATTTTTAAGTCATTCATATTTTAATATAGATAAATATAATATGACATCCCTGGAAATAATTCATTCATTAGGATTTCTTCAGAACAAAGGTGATTTTTGTTTCCAGTGTAGAGCTCCTGTTGTGTGATCATTTTTTAAACCCCAGGTTTTTAAACGACATAGAATTAACAAGTTGTCAAAAGTAGATGTGTGTTATTCATTTGTAATTATATTTTTATTGTTATTTTTTACCTTTCGTTTCAGGAATTGAACTGTTTGGATTTTGGCAGGAAGTGAACATGGTTATCTCAGATTCTGAGTTGATGACAGGTATCCACTACTCCTGTGCAATACCAGGATTGATACAGTATCTTCAGAGTATCACTCAGCTTGTAATAGCAATGCTCTCAGTATCTGTTGACCCTGACATCTCAAGTAGCAGTTCACCTGTCACAGAAAAGAGGATGAATCCTTCTTTGCTGGTTATCCATTTGCTTCAGTCCAACTTCCATGAAGTGCGTCTGCTGATGTTAGAAACTCTGCTCCTCTGGTGGAAGCAGGTAAATTTGAAACAGGTTACAGGAGAGAAGAGATGCCCATTCAGCTTGCTTTCGGATTTGGAGGAGATGCTTCTGAAAATGACTGTGACAGAAAGTCACCCACAATGTTTTTGCAAGGTAGGAAGGAGCATCCAGCTGTATAGAGATTGTATATCTACTTCTTTTTAAAGGACCATTCTCCTGGATTTTTGACCATGCCTTTTTTGTCTTTACTTGTATGTGTATATCTCTTTCATTTAACATTAATCAGGAATTTTTGTTTAATTCTGCAATAGCCAGAAGGTTAAGAGTCAGTTTTTTTGCAGAAGAAACACCATCCTTTTTCTGACACTTATATGCTCATTAATTTTCTAGTACTGTCTGGGAAAACCTGCATTTTTTTCAGTTTGGCTTTATTTGAGTCAACATTTTGTTAGAACTAAATCTATGCACTTAAGAATTAAACTTACATCCTATATGGACTTGTATTTATCATGTAAAAAACAGAATATTGTTCTGAAGTTTATTACCTAGGTACACAGTATTAGCACATCTTAATACAGTGTCAATCTGTATAGTATTTATGTGAATCCAAGACAACTTTGACTTTAAGATGCCCCCCCACAAATAATTAGGCTATATTTGGTCCCGGCTGTGGTGCAAGACACGTGGCAGTAAGCCCGCTGCGCCCCTGTGACCCTAGGGACCCCAGCAGAGACCCCAGGACTCCCTGACAAGGCCCGGCCTGCCTACATGTAAGCAGGGGCCTGTGGAGGGAGGGACCTAGTCAGCTGGGAGGGGGCTGAGAGGGCCAAGGAGGGTCACGCCTCCCACCCTCTCCCCAGCTCCTACTTGGCCCAGTCCCCCAGGGAGCCGTGCAAACAGATCGCACAAACAGGTGCACTCCTGGGCCCGGCGGGCGAGTTAGCACGGGAGTTTGCGCAGGAGGGCGCGTGGGAGGGCCTGCGGCCCTGCCTGTGAGCCCCCTAGAGTAGACAGTCCCAGCCATAGCTAGCCCACCAGCGGCATGACATGGATGGGCACATGCCACACCCCAACAGTCCCCTCGGGGTCTGCGCCCCCACCCCACCTCTGGCACCTCAGGGACCACCACCCAGACGGAGCCCGTGGTTCTGGGCTCCACACAGACGGAGCCCCTGGCTCTCAGCTGCGGGGGCTGCCTGTCACTTTTTCAGGCTCTGGGGCCTGGGAGCATGGCCACCTCCTCTTGTGGGGTCTGCTCCCTACTGGCGTCTCTGGCGTGCCAGCTGGAGGAGCTCCAGGCCGCAGTCCAGAGACTGTGTGCCATCAGCAACTGTGAGCAGGAAATAGACTCCTACTGCCAGGCCCTTCTCCCCTGGGAGATGGAGGGTAGACCACGGTCTCCCTCCAGGACAAGGGAGGACTCAGGGACCTCCCTTAACGTCCAGGCCAGGGATTGGACCAAGGTGGTCAAGGGCCTCAATGCCTGCCACACCAAGGTCCCTGCCCTGCTGGAGCTTTGCAACAGGTACGAACCTCTTGCAGCCCCAGCAGAGCCTGCTGAGTTGCCAGCTCCCACAGCCAACACAGGCACTACTGTAGCTACTGCACCCACTCTTCCCCAAGACAAAACGCATTGTTTGTTGTGGGACACTCCATCCTGAGGGGGACCAAGGGGTTAATCTGCCACCCCGACCCCTTTGCCCGGGAAGTTTGCTGCTTCCTGGGAGCCAGAATCTGAGACATTGCGGAGAAGATCCCGAAGCTCCTCCAGCCCACAGACCACTACCCTATGCTCCTCATCCATGTGGGCACCAGTGACATGGCTCGGAGCGCTCCCAGCCGGGTCATGAGATGCTACAGGGATTTGGATGCGGGGCTAAAGGGTCTGAGGGCACAGGTGGTGTTTTCTTCGATCCTCCCAGTCTCGGGTTATGGGCTGAGGAGGGAGAGGAGGATTCAGGCAGTCAACCAAAGACTGCGGCGCTGGTGTCATCGGGAAGGCTTTGGCTTCCACAACCACAGTCAGCTCTTTGGAAAGAGAGGCAGCGAGCTGCTGGGAAGGGACAGCTTCTGCATCTCTCCGCTTGGGAGGAGGCTCTGTTCAGCCAGACTGGCTGACCTGCTCTATTGGCCTTTAAACTAAGACCACCGGGGGATGGGGGGACTACTGCCACTGCTGGTCCACTGAGTGGCCCTTGCAAAGCCAGCAGGTCAAGGCACTTAAGGGAACCCACCCCTGCCCCAGCCCTGGCACAAAATGTAGGCAGGGCAAAGGCCCCCAAAGGGACACTTGCCTGCCTGTACACAAATGCCAGGAGCTTGGGAAATAAACAGGAGGAACTTGTCCTCCTGCTAAATGCAAATAACTGTGATGTCATTGGTATAACGGAGACCTGGTGGGACTCCACCCATGACTGGACCACAGATATAGAGGAGGGATTGAGTGGACAAAAGGGGTGGGGGCGTAGCTCTCTCTGTCAAGGAAAGCTGTGCGTCCCTGAAAGCCAACATTGGCCCCCGCAGTGGAGGCATTAAGACCCTCTGGGTTAAAATCCGTGGGGAATATGGCACAGGGGATACTTTGGTGGGAGTCTACTGCAGACCCCCTACCCAGGGTCAAGACCTTGACCAGTAGTTTGCCAGGGAATTGGCTGAGGCCGCGAGCTCTCAGTATATGGTTGTCACGGGAGACTTTAACTACTCAGACATCTCGTGGGAGGAGCGCTCAGCCAAATCCTAGCAGGCGCAAAGCTTCTCTTGTGCATGAGTGACCTCTGTCTGACACAGAAAGTCTGTGGGCCAACGAGAGGTAAAGCACTGCTCGACATTATGCTGGCAACCGGGGATGAATTAATCAGTGATTTAACAATCAAAGGGAAGCTGGGTGATAGTGACCATGGGCTGATCACCTTTGCCATCTGCCGTAAAGCTGGCAAGTCAGTCAGTAATACAGAAGTCCTCAACTTCAGGAAAGCTGACTTTGAGAAGCTAAGAAGGCTTGTCAGTGAGGCCCTGAAGGGCCAGAACCCAAAGGGGAGGGGAGTTCAGGACGAGTGGTTGCTCCTCAAGGGAGCAATCCTGGATGCGCAAGCAAAGTCCATCCCGTCTCGGAGGAAAGGCAGCAAAAGGGCACAACAGCCCA